CATTACATTCAATACAAGAAAAATGAGCAGAACAAACAACGACCAATAAAACGCGTTCACTTACTAACTAATCGAAGTAATATTCATTTGAGGGAAGAACGATTCTCGTTGCCAATCGCTATAAAACGATCGTCACAGGTTGAAACTGATGAGGACTTTCGCCTGAAGCGATGGGGAAATAATTTTTCATACTGTTACTACACAGAAGAGCTTAAAAACAAGCAAAAAACTGTGTCTGACGTTGTCTAGGAAGCTGCTCAAGGAATCATTTTCGAAGGAACCAAGCTCAGCAAACCATATGAAGCTGAATGGTTAGCTGAGCAGTTACGTGCAGTTAAACATTTTGGAAATACGGTGGAGGCAGAGATGCATACTAAACTTCCACCTATTATTAGTCAAACATGTGTTTATCTCTATACTAAAGAATCATTTTTGTACAAATTGATTAATTCTGTACTCCGCAATCCTGAAACAATTACTTGTGAACAGTTAAAAACATTAGGGCCATTTTCTTGGCTACTCTGCACATATTTGAACCAATTAAATACAAGAAATAACCTCATTGTTTATCGTGGCGTCACACTAACTGATCAACAACGACAAGAATATATTAAAAAAGAAGGTGAAAGAATATGTTTTACTTCATTCACTTCAACAAGCGAGAATCAGGAACTAGCTGAACAATTTGGCAACACTCTTTTCGTTATTGATTTAGGTAAACACGCTGACTTCTATGGTGTAAATGTCTCTCTATTGTCCGACTTTCCTGAAGAAGAAGAATTTTTAATTAATACAGTTGCCACATTCAAATTTGTTAAATATGAATTTGATAATGTGAAGAAGAAATATTTTTCATCTCAAAACACTTTATTAAACAGTCTATAAAACAATATTAGCTTATTTTTACGAAATGCTAGTCGATTGGAAATAGACCCATCAATGTCTTGACGAAAAGACAAATTCCAGTTGCTAGTCTCACCTCTTACTTTTCAATAGTCGACCATATCAAAGTGTGTTAACAACAGAAATAATATTTTATATATAAAACTGAATAAAAAAAAATGCAGAGATTAATTTCGCCGCAGCGTTTTGTAAGGAGATGAGTATAACAGTCTGTGGTGAGGGTGAGTTTTGTAATGCCTGGATTCAGCGTTTATTTAGTTAATCCATTGATCATTGGAGCGCCACGAGGTATTATGTGGTCATATGATAAACGATATGTAGTATGATAATTTAATGATACTAATCATCTAAATGTTTCATCGAATGAATGTGATGATTTATCAATGTCTTTGGTATGTATCATTTTTATAATCACTAAATGATTCATCTGAATCACAATATGCTCTTCTTGATGAATTGAATAAATGGATAGCTATTAGTCAACTCTGTCTTTCATTCTATTTTACATGTTGGCATTGTTTAGTATCCATTTTCAGCTACAAACAGTGAAGTT